CGCGGCTCCGGCTGGCGCCCCGGGTCCTCCCCCCGCAGCCCGTCCCCATGCCCAGCGCCCACTCTCCGCCCCCAGTTCCCGCGGAGCCGCACTTACCCGAGCCGGTCCCGCTCACCGCCCGGCCTTTCCTGTGTGCGCCCTTAAGAGTCCCCTCCTTTATGGGAAACCGCGGCCGGCGCCCTCGGGTTCCGCCCTCGGGTTCCGCCCTCGGGTTCCGCCCTCGGGTTCCGCCCTCGGGTTCCGCCCCCCGGTTCTGCCGCGGGTTCCTTGCGTGCGTCTGCCTGCACCACCCCTGGGGAAGCTTTTACTTCCGTCCACTCGTTCTTTCACTCATTCATCTTTTCATCCATCCATCCATTGCTGAACAGTATCTTATGGAAAACTTCTCAAGGCAAAACGTTTTAGCTCCTGACTAAATTGAGAGATAAATGAACAGGACAACTCAGATAAGTTCCACGAAGAAAATGACCCAAGTGAGTAGGTCACTTGGGAGTAGGGTCAAAGGGAATAGGGTGGTGGTCATGGGGGGGTCATCTGTCAATTAGCAGTTTCAATTAGGCCTCTCTGAGTATGGGGGAATTAATCTGACACCTGACACCTGCAGGAGCAGGTCAAGCAAAGATCCAGAGGAAGAGTCTGGAGGAGGGAACCACAGTGCAAAAGCCCCAAAGCCTGAGGCAGGTTGCCTGGGGGAGGGGGAGGAATAGCTAGGGGAGGCGGCCAGAGGTGAGCAGGATGAATAGGAGAGGTGCACAAGAGCTCACGCGTTTTACCGAGGGGGGATCAGGATTCAGTCCTGGGGGTTGATATGCTTTGGGTTACATCTTAAGCATTACTCCGATCACAATACAATCGATGATGGAGATCGCCAGAACTACAGAGAAAGAAGCTAGGGCCAATACTGACCACCAGAGAGCAATTCTAATTCTCTGTTCTTCCTCCAGGTTCTGCTCCCCAGTAGCTGTGGGACCAAGTTAGTCAACCCAAGTTTCTTTCTTTGATCCATCCCTCATTCAGTCAACCAACTTAGCGTTTTGTGTATGTTCTAGGCTCTGGGCTGCCCTCTGTACCCCTCAGAGCTCTTGCCCCCAAAAGCTTGCAACCTAGCTCCCCACTTACTGTGTGAAGACGTGCATCCTTCCCACTGCCCCCTCTATGAATGGTTTTAGAAAACCGAGAATGGTGTTTCTGTGCAGCAAAGCACACTCTGGGCAAGGTTGCAGACATCCCTGAGCCATGCCACGTAGCACTGTGAACCTCCCAACCTTTTCTCCTCAGCTTCTACCTACAAATTAGGCGACTGAGAAGATCATCACAACATGTGTCTGCTTTGAGAATATGAAAAAGTTATTCTTCAACTCTTCTAACATCTAACATTTGTGATTGAAAGCAAGTTGCTGCACGGTCTACAGGCTAGAAAAATCTGGAACTCGATGTAGATGGTCCAATGAGCAGACTAAGCCTCAGGGCTTTAGCACAACAGCAGTTCCCTTAAAAATGAGACAAGTGCAGCTTGGATGAATTTCCCAATTTTGATCCAGAACAAAGGTTTTTCTTAAAATTCCGCATAAAACATGCACCTTTTGTTGTTGCTTTTCGGGGATGTTATTGTTATTGTCCTGGATTATACACGGACAAGGAGTTCTGACACCTCGCTGGGACAGCGGCACCCCATGTCCTGTGAATTTGGGCACAGGGAACGTGCTCCCACTCGGGGAGGACCCCCGGACAGGCTGTGTCCTGCGCATGCGCAGGTGGTTTCCCGGCGGTGACTGGGTGAGCATCTGTGCTCTGTGGCTCACTGGCTCAGAGGAGGAGAGCCTCGCACTACCTGGGCGAGGAGGTGCACGTGGTACAGCCTTCACCTTGCCATGAGCTGGTCCTGCAGAGCAGCAGAGATGGGCCGTTAAGCACCAGCTCTGGAAACAGCTGCCTAGATTGCAATTCCAGCCTAGCACAAACTAGTTGAGGAGGCTGAGAAATATTTTATGTCGTCGTGTCTCAATTTTTATAGTGGTGGTGATAACGACTACATACCTCATTGGCTTGTCGGAGCATGAATTGACTCCATGTGTGTAAAACATTAGGAAAGTACAGAGAACATAGTTAACATCCAAAAATTATTTGTTTTTATGACTTTCTGGTAGCCACTGACTAAATCTCAAGCAACTACCAGCTAACCAGCAAATTCCCAGGATCCTATAGGTACCCGCAGCATCTCTGGCCTGAACCCCAATTCTTGTATGCATAAATAAATAAATCTTAAAAAAACAATTTTGAGATGCTAAAGGGGAACAGTTCAGGAAGGAGTCTGTTGACATAACGGTATTGCTTAGCCTTCTTTTATTCCTAAAATCATTCTCCAGCTTTTTTGCCTGGACTTGTATCATGCTTGTTTTCTATAGACTCATTGTTTAAAAAAAAACAATAGGGTGGAAGTTTCAGAAAAACTGATACAATGCTCTAGCACTCCAGAAATCTTGAAATTAACACCTCATGAAATCCATTTATGGGAATCAGCATTCCCCACACAAACTTCTAGCATATAAAGTTAGTTACACAGTCTTCAAACATTATTTCAGTTTACTTACTTATTTTATGCCTACAGACACATCTTTAGGCAACTTTGCTTCCCTCAAGTAAAACTAAGAGATGACAATGTCCCTATGGCATTGATGCTTAAAATCCCATCCTTATTGTGACCTTTACTATTCACTGCATCTTTACTACCAGATTGGAAACATGTAAATGAGGCCTTTCCAGAAACCTGCAGGTTCCTAGGAGACAAACTGTTTTCCACATTATAACATGGATCCTATTAGGACCTTCTGCAGGCCCAGTGATACAGTCACCCATGATCTATATGGGTCCTACCTGTTCCTGAGTGGGACTCCCGTCTGTCTCCTCATTGCCCCTTGTCACCTACTCCTCCTAATGACTTGATGACAGCTGGACCCTGGTCCAGCTGGACCCTGGCACTTTTTAGATACCTATTTAACACAAGATTAAACTAGAACAAAGGTAGAGTCCTTGTTGATTGCATCTATATTATCTATATTGTCCAACAAACCCAGTTTGCCAGAGTAACCCAAACTCTACCTATTCTGGAACACCAAGACCTCTCTAAGTGTCAACATCACTCATCTGAATTTTACTTTTTCTTTTAACAATCGACGCATAGCATCACCTAAAGTCCACAATTTACCTTAGAGTTGGTGTCGTCTAGGTTTTGGCAAAGAATAATGACACACCTGTCATTATATCCTTATGGTATCATGCAGGTTAATTTCACTGCCCTGGAAAATCTTCTGTGCTCTATTTATCTCTTCTCCATCTTACCTCCAGCAAACACTGATTTTTTTTTATTGTTGTCAATTTTACCTTTTCCAGAATGTCATTTAATTAAAAGCATATATAGCTGTCTCAGATGGCCTCTGTCACTGAGATCTGCATTATTTTCCTTCTCTCTAAAAAACTTCTTTTTACAGTTTGTGCACGTCAGGTCCACTGGAAACAATGCCTTAGTTTTTTTGTTTGTGCAACAAAATCTTTATTTCTCTTTCTTTTTGAGGCCTCATTTTGCAGAGTGCAGACTTTTAGGCTGGTGAACTTTTTTCTTTCCACACTAAATATCTCACTTCACTCTCATTCTGCTTGTGTGATTTCTGAGAAGTTGGATATAATTCTCATCTTTGTTCCTCAGTAGGTACAATTTTTTTCCCTCTGACTTATTTCAGGATGTTTTCTTTCACATTGATATTCTGCAATTGGATGATGATACAAAGTGTAGAGACTTGAGCTGTTCTGTTCTGCATTTATCATGCTTGATATAGTCCAGCCTCCTGGATATTTGTTTTGATTTCCAACATTAATATGAGGAAAATTTCAGTCATTATTTTCCCAGAAAGTTCTATTCCTCACTCCTCCAACTAGTGTTCCCATTGCTATGTAACCTTTTTTGCCGTGGCCCCACAGTCTTGGAGATCCTGTTCTGTTTTCCTTGAGTCTTTCAGATTCTCTTGACATCTCTTGCTCAGATTCTCCCCTCAGCTGAGACTTGTCTATTCTATGTCCATCAAGAGTCTTCATTTCTGCTGCAGGGTTTTCCTCTTCTCAAGCATTTCTTTTTGTTCCTTAGGGTTCCCCTTCTCTGTGGCACCACCCACCTGTTTTGCATACTGCCTGCTCTGTCCACCAGCAGCCTTAGTATCTTCAACACAATCATCTATTTATTTGTTTATTTTAAAATATTTATTTATTTATGCATACAGAACTGGGGGCACAGGCCAGAGGTGCAGGGGTGGTGAGAGGCTTCACCAGAGTCAGAGTGGGGAGCAGAACAGGCAGACTGATGAAGTACTCTGCTGAGGGGAGCAGCGGGCAGGTCAGAAGAGGTCTGCTGCACCATGTGGGTCACCTCCCTGGCGGGGGATCAAACTTGTGCTGCAGTGGCTGAGTGTAGCTTCGTAGAGCTGCGCTTTAACCCACTGTGCCACCAGGAAGGGCCCCAACACCACCGTTTTAAATTCCTGGTCTGAAAATTCCAACATCTCTGCTATGTCTGTTTCCAATTCTGGCTCTGCCTCTTTGAATTGTGGTGACTGGTTTTGGTTTTGCGGTTTGATATGTCTTGTCATTGTTTCTTGATAGGCAGACTGGCTGTTCCCTGTGGAAAGACTTGCTGGGAACAGGCCACCAGGCACGCTACATTCTCTGTTCCTGCAGTTAGGTCTTGATCTGGTAGTGAGCTCTGCCTGTGGGCTGGGATCTTCACAGATATTTCCTAGGCTTTTCCTCCCTCCTTAGAGGGTACAGGATGGCCAAATCGGGTGGAGTGGGTACTCCCCTCCTCGTGGGAAGCGAGAGCAGGCTGGAGTTGGCCATTTCCCTCCCCCAGGTCCCCTAGCTCTGGTAACTCCCCGATAGGTCAGGCTCCAGTGAAACAGTTTCCCAGAAGGCAGGCCTGATGATGTTTTCTATGTTGACTCTGCTAAGTTTTGAGTAGGTTGATAGGTTGAGAGGGGGGACAGTGGCGAAAGCAGTTCCTGGGGCCATGGGATGATGCAAGTCTTAGGGAAACCGAGATGGCTCCCCTTTTCCTCCCATGACCTGAGAGCCTTTTCCAACAATAGTCTCTCTGCCAATCTAGTCCAGGTCAAGGAGAGAAATCT